CAGTGCACAGCAACGCTTCAAGTCGAAAGAACGAACAAACACGTGCGCGTATTTGCATCGCTTTGATCGTTCTCTGTAGATCTCACCTTCTCACGCGCCACGATTGGTCGATTATATACAATACCTGCGTGTTATTGGTCAAAGTACTTTGGATATTTTAGGCAATATAAAAATCCTGGCCAGGATGTGTCCCATATGAACGGCACATATGGCCACCCTAAAGGTAGTTACAGAATGAAAATTGATAATCAATAATGTTAGCAAAAGAACCCGACTGTAAGTAAATTAACATTATTAGTCTTAACACGTATCTTACACATTTCATATTTCATGTTGTTCCTGCATTTTCCAGAGAAGTCTCCAGTGCGAAGGTTAAACACAAGTAGTAATACACTGCTTTGACGAGCACTTCCGGTATTCAATTCCGCTGTGATAAAGGTCTATTAAATGGTCTTTCTACATTCTCAAACGAGTGAAGAACATTCAGTCTTAAATGACTGAATGCAAACTGAACAACTTCACACTTATTGTGATAGAGAACACTGTAAAGCCTCGTACACACCGGGACGATTATCGATTGGCGCCCTTATCGCCAACGTTTTTCGACGCGTCTTTTGTGTTCATACCCAAGCGATTTTCGCTGGCGATGAGCTGAGTGAACGTGCAAATTCACTCCCTGACATTAGATGGCGCTTAATGAAACATCGAATCCTATTTGATCTGCAATTCCTCTCCATAACAACTCCCTCTTATCGAGATTTTTGTAGTCGCTGTCGCGTTTGTCATAAAGCCCTTTGTGTTCAGACACCAATGAGACCAGCAGCTCTACATTCATCTTGCCTCGATGCATCTTCTTGGTCTACTTACTTCCTCTTCGTCGTTAGGTATCAATGTGTGCTCGGCAAGACTGTTTTGTGCTTGAGCGCCACCAAGTCGTGTTTTACTGTAACTTCAGCAGCTCCAGGCACATGAACAAAAGCGCCAATCTCATTGGTCGGCCAGTTTTTAACGCGGCGTGTCAAACCAAAAAAACGAGCCTAAGGTGTTTTTTAAAAAATGATGCTTGTACGCCTCGCGTTTTGCGCGTCAGTGTGCACACTCACATTGGCGCCCTTTGTTTAGTCATAAGGCGTTAAACGTTGGCGATAATCGCGCCTTAACAAGCCTTAACAGTTTCCATGGATTATGATATATTTTTGTTTGCCGTTTTGGGGTGGTAATATTTTATGTTAATAGGGAATGGGGGCCCAAAATGTTCTTTTGCCTCTGTCACAATAAGAGGTAAATCCGGCCCTGCTTGTTGCTCTCCTCAAACATTGTATTCGCATAAATTAACCAAGATTTGCCTCAACTGGATTAAGTATTACAATTTATTTTTCTTTCTTTCTTTCTTTCTTTCTTTCCCAACGTTATAACATGTGAAGCATAGTGTAACACAGTTCATAGTTCGGGAAGAAGGAGGCGGGAACCGGCGAACGTTTAAGACTTTAATAAAATAAACAAACACAAAATGAAAGTAAAGCGGCAGCCCCTCGCAGACGACTGCCGCACACAAAACACAAAATAAAATCCAGGACTGGTCCTCTCTCGTCCAACACTGTCGTAACTCCTCCTTTTATCCTTCCGGAGCTCCTCCGTGGGACTCGAGACCGGTGAGTGGTGCAGGTGTCGCTCATTATCAATTATTCCACTAGCCTCGCTCCGTTCCCACGGCTCTCGGCCCCGCCCC